ATGTTATTTTACTATATAACATGGTATACCATACTAATATATAACATTATATACAATATAACGTGTAATATTATATTCATCATGTTATAAACAATATTCAAAACATATTATTAAGTTTACTGCTATATAACATAATATAACATGTGATTTGTATAATTATAAATTGGCAATGCCATATTAATATATGAGATGTTATATATTATATAACATGTTATATTTCAAATAACATGTTATACGTTATAAGAATATGATATTCGTAACAATAATGTGGCATACCATGTTAATATATAACATTTTGTATGATATATAACATGTTATATTTCAACTAACATGATGTAGGATACAAGAATATGGCATACCATGTTAATATATGACATTTTGTATGATATATAATATGTAATATCATATAAATACCTAGTATATAGCATACTATCATACGCTTTAATTTCACACTATATTAATAGTTTGAGTAGTCACAAACATAATAAAATGTGATAATCAATATATATATGGTATGATTACATTTCATTATAACATTATATGAATAATTTGTGTAATATATGTCAATTTCTAAAATTTCAAATTGTAACATATGTTAAAAAAATCTTGTTTTTTATATATATAGATGATACAATAATTTAATTTTTTAAACAAAAAATTATAGATCAAACAAAAATTAAATGGGAGAACAAAGTGATAAAAGAGAAATGATTAAAAAAAAATGTCAGTTTCACATAGTACGTTATTGTTTACTCTGACACAGACTGACACATTCTGACATAATTCTTGTGTCACCACATTAGATCAGAGGGGTAATAAGGTCATTTGTCAGTCTATTTCGTTAATAAATTTAAAAACATGCGAAATTGCTAAATACTCTACATTGTCATGCCATATTGTGCTCTTTCCCTTTTTTTATTCTCTTTTGTCTTATAAAAGGTGAGTTGGATAAGATCTTCTCCATCTTACACTCCATTTTTTACTTTACAATGGTGTTGGTGAAATCTTTAAAATGGAGTAATTTCGGTACAGAAAATAAAGTGAAGAGTAAGAAGGTGAAATAGTGAATATAATTACTATATATTTTGAATAAACCTATTTTCTATTCTATAAAGTTGAAAAAATAATAGAGTTAGAGAATATTTTACTCCAAATTTTATTTTAAAGTAAAAACTATACTGGAGTTAGAGATGTCCTATATAGAACATTTTTTACCATTGTTTGTGAACTATACATTAATTTAGTGAACTCAGCCCCAAACAAGTGCTCATCTTTACTCTCTTCCATATTTAATTTCTTTCGAACAAAAACCTCAAAGAAAAGGAAGAAACCTTAGTCAATGGCCGGTTCAACACACAAATAAAAACAAAAACCATGAAGTGACAATCGAATTGAGTCTAGTAGATAACGAATGGACATTTTCAGATAAAGTGAATCAATAGGCATCATGTCGCGTCTCGATAGATCATCGTGCCACGTCTCGACACGGCATCGATACAGAGATCGATAACGCCTTGACAGAGCCATGGTGGAGCCTAGGGTGAGCATCAATGGTGCCTTGATAGTGTATCAATAGGCACATCGATGGAGTCTGGATACAGACAGTTAGGGCGTATCGACAGTGCTTTGTGCCGCGTCCTGCTGAATGATCATGTCGCGCCACAATATGAGTCGATATATGACCTAGTAGAGCTGTGTTGTGGACCAAGGCAGCCTTGATCCAGAATAATATATGACCGATCCGGCAAGTTGAGGTTTGACCGATGGTGCTGTGGCAGAGCATTCGGTTGGATCAGAGTGGAAGCGGCTAAGGACTCAGCGGTGAGGTTGGTGAGAAACTTGACACGGCCGATAGGTCTTGGTAGGCGACTCAGTCTAGCATCACGAAGGGTTGCGCTTAGGATATACGTGTCAAGGGTAATCTAGGCATTGGATTTGATCGTAGCTTCGAGGAAACTTGGCGCAGCCTAGGCAGGGACAAGAGGGTGACTCGTTGATTGAGCAACGTAGAGTGTTTATTTCCCAGCTCACACTTTCATACGGTTAGGATTGTTTTGAAGTATTGATGAAAGAGTTTACTCAAGAATCCAAATAGAGCCTTGCATTGACATAGGTATACCCTACCCAGAGAGCTACTATGGACCGAATGAGAAGCTAGTCGAGTAAACTAGAAGGTGGTTCGACTAACCATCATTACACCATGGAATAAAGCTAAGGTGGAGTTACCACTCCATAGGAAGTACCTTCTACTTGATGGTTTGCTTGTTAATTTGGTAGGATCCGACAGTCCGGTAGGGAATGCTGTGATCCATGCAGGAAATTGACTCGGATAACTGTGATGGTTACTCGAGTATTACCTTAGCCAACCCGACATAAGGTATGGTAAGAAAAGAGTCAAAGTGACTTGACGAACTTGATCTAGGTAGCATACGACTACATGGTTAGAGGGTAGACACGTCAAGGCTTGTTCTATCCATGGGACAAGTTGGTATCGTGATCTATTCACAATTTATAGATACTTTTATGTTTGTATTTCTGTAGGAACGGCTACTGTATGGCCATAGATGTTGTCATGGGTAAAGCACTGGGATAGCCGTGTTTACCTAGGACCGACCATACAGGGCAAAGGTGTTTGTTAAAAATTTTCGGCCATTGATTGAGAACCTAGTAAAAATGGATTACGATAATATGAGTAGGAGAAATATTGTGAACTTTATGAGTGTCTAGAATAGAAGAGCATACAAGTTGGTAGGATAGTAGGTTCACAATGCCACCCTTATCTCATTGTATAGGGGCATGTGTATGGCCAAATGTCACCGACTTGTACGTGTTTGGCTTGAAACAGTGGCATGAAAATCCGACAGATAGGGACTGACCAGAAGGACTCGGAGGAGTCAAGAGTGTAAACGTTGGCCGATGGGCTAAACTACGATTATAGAGCCGTGAGGGCTTGGGGCTTCGGCCTGTATAAAGTGTATCGATGCTAGGAAGATAAGCCGGGGAGGCCTGCCTAGTTACAGTGTATCGATGCTAGGCAGATAAGCCGGGGAGGCCTTCCTAGTTATACTGTGTTGAAAAAGAGTTGACTAGAGATGGTCTAGTGTGAAAGAGTAATTGACACATGGTGTTGAGGTATCATGTGGAGGTTATGGTAGTTGAAGGTAGTTAGGTTTTGTTAGGTCGTGAGACGGAATAAACCATCCTACTGAGTATTAATACCCACCCTAGACTTGCAAGATAGGAGATGAGGTCAGGTAGACCATAGGAAGACAAGGCAGGAGGAAGCGGTAGGCACGGTGAAGATTTCCCAAGGTATGGTACTAGTATGTCCATATGTTGTATCTTACCAAATAATGTAAAGAGCAATTTTAGAGCAATGAAAAATAGACTAACACGTGGGCATGGATTTATGGTCCGTGAGCTGGGTGTTGCACACACCTCCACGGTATGACACGGCCTGTTTATAGGTTTTTATGCCCGGCAGGATTTCTGCCGAAAGTAGTAAGATTTGTCTTCTAAGTTTTTCTACCTAAAATCTCTACATTGGTTCAAAGATGTCACATAAAGCCCGAGACAAAAACACTATCAGAGACAAACTTAAGGAACCATAAGAGCAATCGAGGTGCGAAGGGAATCGCTACTCAGAACGGTGGGCTGGAGAAGATCAAAACCCGAGAACGAGTTACGATAAGACTTGTTATTTCATAAATGTGTTACTTTTTACTTATCATTTAAATATTATTAAGATATTATTTTTTTTTCTTTTGCAAACAATTGCTAATGATGATATGTCACTGTATTATGGGTTTTGGTGAGAGAATCACACACATGAATTGAATGACCATGCTTGTTTATGATCAGTTGGTTGAGGAGACCCTCGACGCAATTGAGGAAGAGCACCAAAATCAGCTGACTCAGCTCTCTCAGGCTAGGTCAAACGCAAGATACTTACCCCGCGACGAAATGAACCGTATTGTAATGAGCATAAATATTTAATTTATTTAGATTTTTCTCCTCAATTTTATAGTTTTGAAAAACTAATTATTTTTTCTCTTCTGTAGTATGTACCAACAAAAGAAAGAGCGTAAGTTCGAGGTTGGTCAAATTCTTGATCGAGACCAAGCGACGTCTTCTTCGGCATTTTAAGGCTGTGCACATCTTATGAATGAAATTGATAGGTTAGACGGGCGACTCAAAGAGGAGGGGACACAGTGAGAAAGCAAAATAAAGAAACTCGAGTAGGTTACGCGAAGATAAGGGCATTTCTCGAGTCGGCCTTCATGGGACAAAAGTATTAGACATTTGATTATGTTAATGCGTTTTATGTTGTTATATTTTGTTAACGTTTCCGAGAAT